ATTTATTATGTCATACATAATTGTATTTAATCTGACAAAGAAAAAATTATGACCTGTCCTGGATTTGAACCAGGTATCTTCCGCATGAGAGGCAGTTATAAATCAAGTGCGCCACTGTATGACGCAGCACATACGGAATTTAAACTATATATAATACATGAAATTAAGTCTTTCAAAAAATGTATGCAATAACATATATTATTATTACTCAAACAACATTTTTCAAACAATTTAGGGCACTTCTGACATTCTTCATGAAGTGTTAGGCCCAAGGACCCAACATCAGCAAATGTCATTAGTAGTCACTGGGGATTTGAACTAGCAACCATCATCACCGTAGACCTGTGCTTTTCTATCTGAGCCACTGGACCACTAGTTCCACTAATGCTGCTTGCTGTCTTTTGTACAGGCTGCTTTCAACTGTATTTGTTGCCCACATGCCGCTTTAAACGCCATTTATTCCCCACATGCCGTTTTAAACGCCACTTGTTGTCCACATGCCGCGTTACACGCCACTTTTTGTCCACATGCTGTTACAACAAGCAGCAGTATTCGAGATAGTGGTCCAGTGGCTCAGATGGAAAAGCACAGGTGTACGGTGTTGATGGTTGCTAGTTCAAATCCCCAGTGACTACCAATGACATTTGCTGATGTTGGGTCCTTGGGCATAAAACTTCATGGAGAATGTCAGAAGTGCCATAAGTTGTTTGAAAAATGTAGTTTGAGTTATAATAAATTAAATTTATAATTTGTTGAAAGACTTAATTTCATGTATTATATGGGGTTTAGATTCTGGAGACGTGCACATTGCTGTGGCGCACTTGGTTTGTAACTGTCTCTCATGCAGAAGATACCTGGTTCAATTCCAGGTCTGGTCTTTATTTTTTTGTTGTCAGATTAAATACAAATTGAATATGTATAAATATATATTTCATACATATGGTTATGTGTTGTTCCAATAGTAATCTTGCATTAGGATTAATATTGCATCATCGTTAGGGTAAAACTAAATGATGTGTAAAACACTCAAGACACAATTTTACTTAAAACCACCTGGTGAGTGGTATAGTTGGTGTGTGTCCGCCAATCATGCTAGTTCGCAGATTCAAATCCAGCCAAGATCAAAAACTTTTTTATGACGGTTATTTCTTTATACATATATATATCTATAAATATCTATATGTATCTTATATATATATATATATATATATATATATATATATATATATATATATACAGTTTTTATATAACTGCCATTAAAAAAAAACTGTACTTTGATTCGATCTGCCAATCTCACGCACTATAGACGAATGTTTAATGACTGCGCCACTTATTTTGTGTTTTGGCAAAGAAAAAACCGAAAGATTCTATTGTTGTTTTAGGACATTTCATCAAGAATGGAGCCAACCAAAGATGGTGAAGAGTGATGGATTGAAAAATACAAGCAGAAAGTTGTGTAATTGGAACATGAGGTTTCATCTCTATATTGTTAAAATCTTCATTTCTGTTCTTGGACCGTTTAAGCTGTGTCTTATACTTTGCATTCTTTTATTAAAAAAATATATGTATTAATGCTCTTTCTTATTGTTCCATGTTTCTGATATGGTTTTATAAAAGAAGAGAGAGAAATAAAATGATTTTTTCTTTTGTTTTATTTATAGATATATAGATATAGATATATATATATAGATATAGATATATATATATATATATATATAATATATATGTATATATATATATAATTATATATGTATATATACATGTCATACATATTAAATTTGTATTTAATCTGACAAAGAAAAAATAATGACCTGTCCTGGATTTGAACCAGGTATCTTCCGCATGAGAGGCAGTTACAAACCAAGTGCGCCACTGGATGACACAGCTTAATTAAGTCTTTCAACAAATTTATGCAATAACATATATTATTATTACTCAAACAACATTTTTCAAACAATTTATGGCACTTCTGACATTCTTCAGCAAATGTCATTGGTAGTCACTGGGTATTTGAACCATCAACCATCAACACCGTAGTCCTGTGCTTTTCCATCTGAGCCACTGGACCACTAGCTCCACTAATGCTTTTTGTTGTCTTTTGTACAGGCTGCTTTCAACTGTATTTGTTGCCCACATGCCGTTTTAAACGCCACTTGTTCCCCACATGCCGTTTTAAACGCCACTTGTTGTCCACATGCCGTTTTAAACGCCACTTGTTGTCCACATGCCGCTTTACACGCCATTTATTCCCCACGTGCCCTTTTAAACGCCACTTGTTGTCCACATGCCGCTTTACACGCCACTTGTTGTCCACATGCCGTTTTAAACGCCACTTGTTGTCCACATGCCGCTTTACACGCCACTTGTTGTCCACATATCGCTTTACACGCCACTTGTTGTCCACATGCCGTTTTAAACGCCACTTGTTGTCCACATGCCGCTTTACACGCCACTTGTTGTCCACATGCCGCTTTACACGCCATTTATTCCCCACATGCTGTTTTAAACGCCACTTGTTCCCCACATGCCGCTTTACACGCCATTTATTCCCCACATGCCGTTTTAAACGCCACTTGTTGTCCACATGCCGCTTTACACGCCACTTGTTGTCCACATGCCGTTTTAAACGCCACTTGTTGTCCACATGCCGCTTTACACGCCACTTGTTGTCCACATGCCGCTTTACACGCCACTTGTTGTCCACATGCCGTTTTAAACGCCACTTGTTGTCCACATGCCGCTTTACACGCCACTTGTTGTCCACATGCCGTTTTAAACGCCACTTGTTGTCCACATGCCGTTTTACACGCCACTTGTTGTCCACATGCCGTTTTAAACGCCACTTGTTGTCCACATGCCGCTTTACACGCCACTTGTTGTCCACATGCCGTTTTAAACGCCACTTGTTGTCCACATGCCGCTTTACACGCGATTTATTCCCCACATGACGTTTTAAACGCCACTTGTTGTCCACATGCCGCTTTACACGCCACTTGTTGTCCACATGCCGCTTTACACGCCATTTATTCCCCACATGCCGTTTTAAACGCCACTTGTTGTCCACATGCCGCTTTACACGCCATTTATTCCCCACATGCCGTTTTAAACGCCACTTGTTGTCCACATGCCGCTTTACACGCCACTTGTTGTCCACATGCCGTTTTAAACGCCACTTGTTGTCCACATGCCGCTTTACACGCCACTTGTTGTCCACATGCCGTTTTAAACGCCACTTGTTGTCCACATGCCGCTTTACACGCCACTTGTTGTCCACATGCCGCTTTACACACCACTTGTTGTCCACATGCCGTTTTAAACGCCACTTGTTGTCCACATGCCGCTTTACACGCCACTTGTTGTCCACATGCCGTTTTAAACGCCACTTGTTGTCCACATGCCGCTTTACACGCCACTTGTTGTCCACATGCCGTTTTAAACGCCACTTGTTGTCCACATGCCGCTTTACACGCCACTTGTTGTCCACATGCCGCTTTACACGCCACTTGTCCACATGCCGTTTTAAACGCCACTTGTTGTCCACATGCCGCTTTTCACGTCACTTGTTGTCCACATGCCGCTTTATACGCCACTTGTTGTCCACATGCCGTTTTAAACGCCACTTGTTGTCCACATGCCGCTTTACACGCCACTTGTTGTCCACATGCCGTTTTAAACGCCACTTGTTGTCCACATGCCGCTTTACACGCCATTTATTCCCCACATGCCGTTTTAAACGCCACTTGTTGTCCACATGCCGCTTTACATGCCACTTGTTGTCCACATGCCGCTTTACACGCCACTTGTTGTCCACATGCCACTTTACACGCCACTTGTTGTCCACATGCCGTTTTAAACGCCACCTGTATTCCACATGCCGCTTTACACGCCACTTGTTGTCCACATGCCGTTTTAAACGCCACTTGTTGTCCACACGCCGCTTTACACGCCATTTATTCCCCACATGCCGTTTTAAACGCCACTTGTTGTCCACATGCCATTTTAAACGCCACTTGTTGTCCACATGCCGTTTTAAACGCCACTTGTTGTCCACATGCCGTTTTAAACGCCATTTGTTGTGTACATGCCACTAATCAGCTGTGGCAGGTGCCGGTGCCACAAAAGGAGCCTGCCCTTACTGGAGAAAAACGGCATTAGACCATTTGGAACCCAGGTACATGCCGTCGCCAAATACATATCTGAAATCCAGTTAAAGCTACGGTACTATTATTTATTTACATTTTCATGCAGCGTGTTTTGTTTGTTGTAAGTGTTTTTTTATTCAAACACAGTTAATATAAGTACATTTTATTCAATAAATGTATAAGGTAATGTGAACATTGAGCAGCTCTTCACAGTTGCATTATTGCACATTTATGTTGAATCCATTTTTATCTGGAAAGTTTAGCGTTTTAGTTCATCCACTGCTTTTGCAGTTACGTGAACAAAGAGTTCAATTATTAAATACATTTTAGCATGATCATTTCCGGTATCGGTCAATATCGGTATCGGCAGATACCCATAGCTCTGGCATCGTTATCGGTATCGGTAGTAAAAAAGCTGGATCGGTGCATCTCTAATTTTTACAAGCCAAGGGTTCCAATGCTATAGCAAACAGGGCAGGAGACAACGGGCAACCCTGCTGAACAGAACGCTGTAGGGGGAAAGGTGCAGACCTATTCATAACGGTTTTATTAACACACTATATAATGCTCTATGTGTTTTATTATTGTAAATTTGCATATGTACTGTATATGTGTGTGTATGTGCTTGTAATGCATACATGTGTGCGTATGTGCTTGCATATGTATGCGTGTGCGTGTATGTGTTTGCATATGTATCATTAATATGTGGGGTAGGTGCTCATAAGTTCTTTGAACCTCCACCTACTCCTTTTGAGCAGCAAATATGCCTGCATTATCTTTTGTCGTTGCTGTTGTACAACTTTGTTGTATGTTGCTCAAATAAACCAAATCAATAAAATAAATGATAAGGTTAGTTACCTGAGGGCCACCAGCTCCACCCACAGACGGATGAAGGCCAACTGAGGGCCAAAGGCAGCCAGGATGTACGTGTAGTGGCCCCCGGACTTCTTTATACATGTGCCTAGCTCGGCATAGCACAGGGCCCCTGTGCACACACACACACTTTAAAATTATACATGATGGTTGTTTCCATAGTTATTTCATGGTAAAATGTTATATCGCCCCCCAACAATTCAAAATATATAATTTCAAAAAGTGATACGAAAAACAATCACAGCGGTATAGGGGAATCCTTGCAACCTCACACACGCTTTGGTACTTGGTGCAAACCAGTCAGAAGTAGAAAAAGAATAGGACATAATATAACATTTTCTAAGATATTAAAAAATGAAATGTATGAAAATAATATTATTACTATATACAAGTGCACTCGGTGCACACAATATACAATACACATTAATCACTGCAGCGATTAAATAACCAAATAAATAATGCAATACAAATGTTGCCTTTGCATTTCAGTCACTAAAAATTCAGTTTACAAATTTCGATGTGATTAAAAAATTCAAAATGAGAAATTCACCTTCTCTTTTCTCTTCACTTGCAATCTCTTGTTATGTCTCTCCGTTACTATGGATATATGTATTAGTTTAACGTTCTGTCAGTTAATACTTGCATTTGTTATAAACTGGTAATAACTTATCTAGCGTTATTTGTTTTGATTAATGTTTGACGTAAGCCCCTGCTGAAAGCCCAAGGCTGTGCTCTCAGCGACAGAGAAGCCTTTTGTGGACCCTCCACCTGCAGGAGGATCAGTGAGGACCAGGAGGATCAGTGAGGGTGGTGCTATGTGAATTGGGTGGCAGCTTTTTGCAGCTGAAGAAAGAGCCATACGGTTTTCTTTCCATTACTTTATTTCAGAGAAAACTCAGCAAATATCATTAGTGTACAAGAGTTCAAGAGTACTTTTTTTTTTTAATTCCTTTACATGGAGTCCCATGGGAGTGTTTCCTCTTTTTAAAGTAACACTAGTGATCCCTAACAGTGGAAACTGTTTACACGGAAACTAACGCTGCAGCTAATGAAGAGCGCACGATGCGCTGTAGTCTCTGTTTGTCCTTAACAGTGGCTCCAGCAAACCACAAAGTGATGGAGGAGGTGAGGAGGGACTCGATAATGGCCGTGTAGAACTACACCCACTCCCACTGATTTCTGCTGTTGTTGTGTCCTTGGCCAAGACACTTAATCCTACTTTGCCTGAAGTCCCGCTGAAAAATCAAGGCTGTGTCGTCACTGACAGAGCAGCCAACCTCCTGTGGACTCACCACTTGCAGAAGGATCAGTGAATTTGGGTGCAGCTCTGACTGCCACCCCCCTGACCCAGAAATGGATTATGGGGAAGAAGATGGATGGATGGATGCTGAGGTTCAGAGTTACTTTAGTTGCGTATCTCTCATCAAGACTTTTCGGACGAACAGGCTGTTATTATTACAATACACAATACAATACAATTTATTCTTGTATAGCCCTAGGTCACAACAGAAGTCATCTCAGAGGACTTAACAAAACCATTGAAATCACCAACACAGGTCAGAGAATCAACAGCCAAAACACATGGAGAATATAAAGCACACACAGAAGAAAATGTCCATACATGTTGTAGAATGCTAAAGTGTCCTGATCATCACCAATCCTTTCTGTTGGACACTAACTGTCCAACAAGACCCTCCTGCATCGACAAGGAAAAACTCTTAAAAAACCCAGTGGGAAAAAGTGAGAAACCTTGGGGAGCACTAGGGAAACCCACAGGGAGGGAGACCCATATGAGAAAGGGATCCGCTCCTCCGGACGGACAGGCTAATGATCTAGGACCTAAGCTAGCTACAGGACGTGGACCAGTGGCCGCTGAACGTGGACAGGTCCGGTGCAGGACCGAAGCACTCCCAGGCGGGTCGGGCGGGGCAGTCCGCAGGTGCAGATGGAGGAGGCCAGGCTCAGAGATCCCGTCATCGTACCATGAAACAGACAATGGGACAACGGGTGAATAGCAATGAACAAACTACAGTCAGAATCCTAAAAGTGCTAAACAGATAAAGTAGATAAAGTAGGAAGGAGGAGAGGATAGTGCTCAAGTTACCATACTTCTCCCAGCAAACTGACTCCCTATGCAGCTTGACTGACACTCTGAGGAGTTTAGCCTTCCCTGAGTCTTACCTTCCTAGCCATATGCTAAACTAAAGAGGACTGTTTTAAACCTAGCCTTGAATAAAGAGATTCATGGATTGCACACCAGGTGTGCAAACCGATCCAAGCAAACCTAATTATATATTATATATCATATACATCATATATACCATACATACCATATATATCATATATAATACACAACATAACATACAGCATAATATATAACATAATATACAACATAACACAATACATTATTGTATAATATATAACATAATACAGCATACATATATAATATATACCATATATTATATACTACCTAATTATATGCTAAATTAAAGTAAAGTGCTTTAAGCCTGGCCTTGAATGTGGAGACCGTATCTGCTTCCTTAACATAAATGGGAAGCTGATTCCACAGTAAAGGAGCTTGGTAGCTAAATGCTCTGCCACCAACAGTGATTTTTGAGACCTTAGGGACCACCAGACGTCTGGCGTTTTGTGAGCGCAACGCTCGACTTGGTTGATACGACACCAACGTGTCTTGGAGATAAGAAGGAGCCAAGCCATTTATGGCTTTATATGTTAAGAGAAGGATTTTAAACTTTATTCTGTACTCCACAGGGAGCCAGTGGAGTGATTTTAACACCGGAGTTCTGTGCTCCCTCCTTTTGGTACCTGTTAAGATCCTAGCTGCTGTATTCTGAACGAGCTGGAAGCTCTTCAAAGACGCTTTAGGGCACGCTGCCAATAAAGCGTTACAGTAGTCGAGCCTTGAGGTGACAAACGCGTGAATGAGTTTTTCCGCGTCACTTTTAGGAAGGAAATTCCTAATTTTAGCGATGTTCCGTAGGTGGAAGTACGCCGTTTTAGTTGCTTGGCTTATATAAGCCTTGAAGGAGAGTTCTTGGTCAAAAATGACTCCAAGATTCCTCACAGTGTTACTGGGTATAATACTGACATTATCGAGAGTAATTATCTGGTTAGCGAGGGAGTCACGCAGGCGCTTCGGACCGAGTAGGATCACTTCTGTCTTCTCCGGGTTGAGAAGTAGGAAGTTAAGAGTCATCCACATTTTAAGGTCCTTTATGCAGGCACTGAGCTTTTCCAGCTGATCTGCCTGATTTGGCTTCATCGACAGATAAAGCTGTGTGTCATCTGCATAGCAGTGGAAATTAATTCCATGCTTTTTAATAATGTTTCCTAATGGCAGCATGTAGAGAGTAAAAGTCCGAGTACCGAACCCTGCGGCACACCAAATTCTACTCCAGAATAAGGTGACGAGTTCTGATTTACGTTGACGAAGTGATACCGATCTGATAAATAGGATTTAAACCAGCCAAGGGCTGTTCCTCTAAGACCTATATCACATTCTAGCCTCTGCAGTAGAATGCTGTGGTCTATTGTGTCAAATGCAGCACTAAGGTCCAGTAGGACCAGCACTGACACTTGTCCATTATCAGCAGCTAGTAGTAAGTCATTTGTGACTTTGACTAGTGCCGTTTCAGTGCTATGATGAGCTCTGAATCCTGATTGAAAGACTTCAAACATATTATTTTCCTGCAGGTGGCAGCGAAGCTGCTCAGCTATAAGTTTTTCCAGGATTTTAGATATAAAGGTGAGGTTTGAGATCGGTCTGTAGTTTGTAAGTATTTCTGGGTCCAGGTTTGTTTTCTTCAGAAGGGGTTTGATAACCGCGGTTTTAAAAGCTTGTGGGACATAGCCACATTGTATGGATGCGTTTATTATATTTACGATAGGCTCAATTATCAAAGGAAGTATGTCTTTGAAGAGCCATGTCGGGACTGCGTCTAACATGCAAGTTGAGGCTTTTGAGGATGTGACCACAGAGATCACCTCTGCTTGGCTCACAGCCATGAATTTATCGAGGCCCACTGAAGAGTCTAAGTGGGAAGTCACGTATGCCGCTTCAGCCTGTCCACTACCAACAGCCGGAGTAACCTCCTCCAGTTTGTCACGGATGGATGTAATTTTATTATTAAAGAAGTGGAGAAAGTTGACACTGCTCAGTGAGCTTGGAATTTTAGGCTCGATTGCGCTATGGCAGTTTGTGAGTTTAGCGATTATTATTACTATTATATTATTATTCTATGTTGATAAAACTTAATGATTGTGGGACATTACTGACCAAACTATGCTATTTATAATTGCTGTTGTTGTGTGCAATGGCAAGCTAAGCATGAAAATTTGAAGAATCTTCAAATTTTAACAATTTAGATGTTAATATTTTTGAAATTGTTTGCGTATTACTTATCTGAAAAAAACAATGATTGATGATATTTTGGGTATGCCCCTATTTTCTGATTGCCAGTGCCCTTCAATTCAGATATGCCACCCTGCCCGTTTTGCCTGAAATGGGGAATATTGGCCTGTAGTGTGGAGAAGAGACCGCTACGACAATAAGAAGATCCAGGTTGATTAGAATAATTTTATAAGAAATCTATTTAGTTCCTGGCTCTAAAACTGGCTTCCAATGTAATGTTGGCCTCTGTCACATCTTTAGATCAGCTTTTCAATCAATCAAAGCAAAGGAAGGTTTCTCACCCATCATCTGTACTTCTTAGCAACAGATGATGGGTACAGATGATGGGTGAGAAACCTTCCTTTGCTTTGACAAACCAATCAATCAATCAATTTTATTTATAGAGCCCTTTACAACACTCAAGTCGACCAAAGTGCTTCACAATAAAATTCCATAAAATCCATCAAAACATTCATTCATTTTTTCAGACAGAAAAAATAAGTGCACCCCTACTGAGCCATGAGCTCTCACCCCTAAGTGTAAAATAGTGACTCACTGTCTTATAAGTACTGTATGCAAAAGATAATAAGAGGCAGACAGCTTGCCATGGTCTGATTTTTTACATGTTACAAGACTCTTTCTGTTGAGACATACAATATGTATTATTCATGAACGAGAAACTTACCAAGAGTCAGGTTTGTGGGGATTCAATTCAATTTATATGTGTATCGGCCTCATAACAGCAGTCATCACAGAGGGTTTTACAAAATGTTGTATACAGAAAGGAGTCCGAGGGAGTGGGATGACCACTGTCTATAAATGTTCTAAAATGTCAGTGTGCTCATGTTTTTATACTTATTTAAGCGCAAACAAACTCCAACAGTTGGACAGAGAGAGTCCGACGCTGAGTCTAATTCAATTGTAGAGATATTCAGTGTACAGGTGCGCGTTTCAACCAGACCTACAGGATGTCCCACTGTCCCTGATCAGGCACTAATTCTAATTATTTCTTCTATATAGTTTAGTTATACTTTATTGTCCCCATGTGTCCTCTGCATTTGACTCATCCTCCATTGCTGCTAGGGCCTCTGCTAGGGCCTCTGCCAAGAGGAGTGGTTGCCATAGCAACAGTGGCTTCAGATGATGATGCTCTTCAGCATTTTATCTATTGAACAGGTTTTTAGCGGTAGGGGAAAACGGAGCACCTGGAGGAAACCTACGCAGTAAAAGTAGAGAAAAAGAAATATCCACAGGTGCAAAAGATGAGCTATACATAAATAAAACACGTTTTTCTTTTCTTCTCTACTTCAAAATTGATACAACCTCAGTCCCCAGAGACTCTTCTTCTTGAGGAAGCTGAGGTGTTTTGATGTGAGCAGTCAGATGTTTTACATATTTTATCAACCCGTAGGAGCTTGTGCCGTGGACTTTGGGGTTGTGTGTTGGGATGGCAGTCTGACCTCGAAAGGCAGTAACCGCAGTAACCGCTCAATAGGCTGATCAGAATTGCAGGCATGCATACACTATGGCCGCTCAGAGAATTAACAGTAAGAGATCCTTTGTTCCTTCAGCTTAAGACTACAAAACAGATTCGTCTGAGTTAAACTGGTGAATTTATTACTTCTTTGATATCGTTAATTACTTTTTATAATTGTGTATTAATTTATTTTTTATGAATTATGTATTTCTGTTGCTGGACACTTGAATTTATCCTATACAGCAGTGTCTCCCAAAGTGGGGTCCGAGGCCCCCTGGTGGGCCGCAAGGGTACTGCAGAGGGGCCGCGGGAGGTCATAAAAAAATAAAAAAATAATATAATTATTTAATGTTAAATTTATAATGTTTTGTTTGTAATATTAAAATATTTGTGTTCATTATTTGACTTGAATAATCCACTGTAATAATTTTTGTATTACAATGTTTGTAGCAGAGGCTATTTCCCAAAAATAAAATAACCAGCCTATTCTTAATGTTGTCTTCTTAGTTATTATTTTGGGGGGCCACGCAGACCCGTCAGATTTTTAAGGGGGCCTCGGTGTTACTCAGTTTGGGAATGGCTGCTATACAGGGATCAATAAAGTATCCATCTTATCTAACCTGGATCAACAGCGTCAGCCGTGGATCCTTGCTGGTGCAGTAGGGTCTAAGGACAGTGATGATCCGGGAAATTTAAAACATTGGACTGGCTGGGTGACACTGAATTGGCCCGTGGGCCTTAATTTGGACATGCCTGGTCTAAATGATCGACTCACCTTTTTATAATAGAACCCCATCTTCCATGAGATGGACTTAAATATCTAAAATTCATTCCAGATACACAATAATACATTTATCTCAAACATTGTTCACAAATCTGTCTAAATGTGTGATAGTGAGCACTTCTGCTTTGCTGAGATAATACATCCCACCTCACAGGTGTGCCACATCATCAAGGTAATATTGTGTATCTGGAATGAATTTTAGATCTTTAAGTCCCTCTCATGGAAAATGGGAGCAAAACCAAAAGTGTTGCATTTATACTTTTGTTGATCAATCAATCAATCAGGACTTCTGAGCTTCGTGGGGTCTCACATATGAGAAGGGGCCTCTCAGATGTGAAGGAGGCCGTTCAGTGTGATGTGCGAGTTCTACAGAAGGTCTGTGTATTTCATTAAAACAAGCGCACAAGGCTTCTGCAGCTCTCATACAAGACACAGATGAGGAACATATTGAGTGAAATCTGGTTAAACACTAAAAGTGTTCTGCAGGAGGTGCACACTTTCAGACTGACCAATGGCTTGGAGGCGTGTAAACACCATCCCCTAAGCGGCCCCTGGGAACCGCTCTTATCTAGAACAACTCCAGTCACACAGCGTGTGATGCTCTATTTGAGCCCAAAGCCAGGGCTTTAGCAGTGGTTTAGGGTCTGGGGTGCAGAGGCCCTCCTGCTGAGGCCCCAGGAATTTTGGCTTTGCAGCTGTAATGAAACAGCTGAATTCAGCTTTCACAGGAACCAGCTGCACTGTTTATACTGGCCCTGGGACTTGTACTGGTGCTGGTACTGGGACTTACTGTATACTGATAGTGATAGTATGTTGATACTGGAGCCTCTCTAACATGTAATAGGATCAGATATTATCTCTGGTTGATATTGTCTTATGTCTGTGCAGTTACCTCCGGGTACTCCCGTTTCCCCTACCACTAAAAGTATGTACAATAGGTGAGGGTTGAATGAGTGTGTGTTTGTGAGTACGGCTGAGGGACTCCAGATGCAAATTAGCTACATTGCTACAATCTGGTGTATTTCCGGCTCCTGGTGTGCATGACTATGCACTGTCCCATCCAAATAAACAAATAAATACAAATAAAAACCTGTGTATAATTATGATGGACAGTGTAACCATATGTGGCATGAGGGGTAGCAGGAAATTATTATTTTGGTTAAACAACGCCACCCAAGGAATATGGCCTTGGGACCAATACAATCTAAAATATGTAATATAAGGCCGCGCTAGGTGTGGGACAAAGAATAGGGAGATTTACAAAAACAATTATCTTTTATTGTACACTAAGTTCAATGATTAAAACAGGCCTGAAGTAGTATTCAACATAACGGGCAGAAATGAGCACAAAGCAAATCAAAAACGGGGAAGATCAAATAATGAACACAAATCATTGAGCAAGGACAGAAAAGCCATGCAAAGAAAAAAACCCGCCCGACAAATATAGCTAAAATACAATGACTGACTGGTGCTCTGTGTACTGGGTGCAGCTCTGACTGCCACCCCCCCGACCCAGAAATGGATTAAGGGGAAGAAAATGGATGGATGGATGGATGGACAATGACTGACCTGGATGAAAGAGGCTGAAAGTGCGTGGCTTGGTGGACAAAGTCTCCAAACCAGGAGCAGCAACACGTGCACGTCACTCCAATGCCCACTTGGGACAGGTGCGTGTGGTCTGCACGCGCACCACATGCACGTGCCTATAAAGACCGTGTTGGTGCCGCCCACGGCGCACATTTAAAGGTGTACATATACAACCATGCCACACATAGTAACAGACTATGGTTGCACTGTCCACAACTAATATACAGACTGTGGTTACTATGGTTACATGGTCCTTCACTATTACACAAACTGTGGCTACTATGATTGCAAGGCCCTAGGGCATGTTCACTGACCGAACAGGGAGAGTACTCCACAGGCGACCCACACCAGAAGGCTAACCCCAATGCTTCCCGTGTGCACCACGATGCCCCGGGGCGAGATGAAGATGCCTGCTCCGATGATGGTCCCGATGATGATAGAGATGCCCCTCAGCAGGGTCACCTTCTGTCCCAGCTCCACCCTGCTGTCACCAGCAGGGCTTGCAGGAGAGGGGGGACTGGGGGGCATGCTGCTCCTCTGGGATAGGCCTACCAACAGATGTGTCAGAACAGTCTTCTTGATAATGTTTAAAACCAGGTTAAAAACAGTTATGTTCAGCTGTGCATACAACTGAAGGATTGTATCCTCAATCTTTTGAATGCGCTGTGATTATTTATTATTTATTTTAATGCCATGTGGGATTTTAATGTTTCTTTTATTGTTTTGCTAAGCACTTTGAGTTGCTTGTGTATGAACTGTGCTACATTCAAAATGCAGCAGCTCGAGTCCTGACTAGAACCAGCAAGTATGACCACATTAGTCCAGTCCTCAGGTCTCTGCACTGGCTTCCTATGGCTCAGAGAATAGACTTTAAAACACCTCTGCTTGTGCACAAGTCTCTCCATGGCCTCGCACCAAAATATATTAGTGACATGTTAGTCCCATGCGAATCAGCCCAAACTCTGAGGAGCACAGGGACTGGACTCCTGTTAGTGCCCAGAGACAGGACTAAACATGGGGAGGCTGCTTTTCAGATTCATGCTGCTAAAATCTGGAACAGTCTTCCTGAAAGTGTGAGACAGGCCTCCTCTGACAATGTTTAAAACCAGATTAAAGACAGTTCTGTTTGGCTGTGCATTCAACTGAGGGATTTTATATCTTTATCTTTCTTTTTAATGCTCTGTGATTATTTATGATTGTAATGCTTTATTTTGTTCAGCACTTTGAGTTGCCTTGTGTATGAATTGTGCTATATAAATAAACTTGCCTTGCCTTGCCTATTCAAATAAACTTGCTTTGCCCTGAATCATTGCCTCATCCAGCACAGATCTTAGGTTGTTTTTTTTATGTTTTATGTTCCATCCAAACTAGAATCAAGAACAAACATGTCCACCACACCTCCAGTTTTTATGCTCTGTTTTTCAAACTTATATTCAGAATCAGAATTGTTGTTATTGCCATTGTGAGTGACTGGAAGTCAATAAGAATAGGTTAATAGGAAATTGTTTTGGCTCTCGGTGAAAACATGTTATAAAAGTAAAAATACATATTTTGTTGTATTAATATTTTGTGTAAAAAGATAAATAGATAAATAAAGAAAAAAAATCTTGAGACAGGACCTTGAAGACAAACAAAGAGAAAAAAAACAAAATACGCATTATTTAGGAAACCACCACCTCAGAAACATAAGCCTCAAACAGCGAAAACCTGGAATGCTCCTGGTACCATCTTTAGTGGCCTCAGTTTCAATTATTATGGTTAACTTGATCGGGATATGTTAATATGGACCATGGCCTATAATTCACACAAGAAAACAGCCAATTACTGGGAAATACATTCATAATTTAATAATTGAATGTAAAAATGTCTTAAGTTTTCACAAAGGAATTCCTGTATTTGGCCCCTGTCCAGCTATTACCTGGCTACTTTTTATTCTGGCCCCCGACCAAAATGAATTGACCCCCTGACCACGATTCAAACTAACAGCTGTAAAAGCCCCATAAACCCCATAAACAAGGAAAATAAAACAGCTGCACAAACAGAAAAAAAAGCCGAAGGATTTACTGTACTGTATACTGTACTGAGGGTATACTGACTACTTGAATACATTCACACAGAGTTTCATTATATTACAGTGTAAAACAGTGTTCTCACGTTACACACACGTACATATAGTATGTGCAAAGTGCTTGTACTAACCGTGCAGTGGCTCTATTTCAGTGGTGATCAGTTCGGCATTAGCCCCTGTGCGGTGCTTTCCACAATCCCTCGACGCTGCAGCTCTCTCTGTATGGGCCCCGGGACACGGCCCATACAGAAAGAGTGTGGCTCCTCCTTCCTATACACTCTGACATGCTGCAGCAGGACCCAGAAAACAGGTGGAGCTCCCACTAGCATGCAACACTAAAAGGAAGAGCTGCTCAAGTACTGCTTTAGAGCTGCTCTTGTCCTGCTTTAATCCTGCTTTAGTCCCGCTTTAGTCCTACTTTAGCCCTGCTTTGACCTGCTCTAGTCCTGCTTTAGATTTTACATAGTCCTACATAATTTTTTTTCAATTTTTTTGTTTATTTGAATAAATGTATTGTTCAGACCGGACATAGCTACTAGCTAATTTTCATCCGTAGTCCCTGGGCAGAGGCAATGTGACAGTAGGCTTACAGTGTGCAAAGAATTGATAAATAGAAAGTCCTAATAAGCATAATACAGGTAAAATACAACACCTCCAATCACAAAGACACAATACAGTATATACAAAATATTCAACACACCATTATTTACATCTAATTAACGACTGCAGACTTGATTATCTTTGAGCCAGTTCTTCAGGCTGAGTTTAAACTGTCCCAGTGAGCTACACTCCCGTACAGACAGAAAAAAACAATCTTTAGAGCTGCTCTTGTCCGGATTTAGACCTACCCTAGTTCTGCTTTTGAGCTGCCTTAGTCCTGATTTACCTACACTGGTTCTGCTTTTGAGCTGCTTTAGTCACATTACGGCACAGCACTACATGGCACGGCTGAGTGTGGGTGCTTTTCCATTAAAAATAGTATCTCCTCAATGTGGGAGGGGTTGTCAGACCACGTCATTTACGCCCACGCGTAATTAGCAACGTTAGTGGGGTGCATGGATTCATTTTAATATCGGTGGGGTCACTGCAGTCATCCTTGTTCATAAATTTAGCAAGGTTGTACAGATAACTTTTGCACGTCTGTACACGTGCCCTTTTCTGCCCAGACAAATGACAGAAACAAAGTCTTGATACAATCACACATTTATTAAAAACAAAAATAAAGTGCAAAACCAACAATTTACAAAGTTCGTACAGTGCATCCGGACAGTATTCACAGCACTTCACCGTTTCCACATTTTGTTATGTTACAGCCTTATTCCAAAATTGATTCAATTATTTTTTTCCCTCACAATTCTACACACAACACCCCATAATGACAACATTATAAACGTTTTTTTGAGATTCTTGCAAATTTATAAAAAATACAAAAACTAAGAAACCACATGTACATGAGTATTCACAGCCTTTGCTTAATACTTTGTTGATGCACGTTTGGCAGCAATTACAGCCTCAAGTCTTTTTGAATATGATGCCACAAGCTTGGCACACCTGTCTTTGGGCAGTTTTGCCCATTCCTCTTTGAAGCACCTCTCAAGCTCCATCAAGTTGGATGGGGAGTGTCGGTGCACAGCCATTTTCAGACCTCTCCAGAGATGTTCAGTTGGATTCAAGTCTGGGCTCTAGCTGGGCCACTCAAGGACATTCACACAGTTGTCCTGAAACCACTTCTTTGTTATCTTGGCTGTGTGCTTAGGGTCGTTGTTCTGCAGAAAGATAAAACGTCGCCCCAGTCTGAGGTCAAGAGCGCGCTGGAGCAGATTTTCATCCAGGATGTCTCTGTACATTGCTGCATTCATCTTTCCCTCTATCTTGACTAGTCTCCCAGTTCCTGCCGCTGAAAAACATTCCCACAGCATGATGCTACCCCCAGCATACTTTGTGGATTGCTGCAGAGATGGTTGTCCTTCTGGAAGGTTCTCCTCTCGACAGAGCTCCGCTGGTGCTCGGACAAAGTGACCATCAGGTTCTTAGTCACCTCCCTGACTAATGCCCTTCTCCCCCGATCGCTCAGTTTAGATGGCCGGCCAGCTCTAGGAAGAGTACTGGTGGTTCCAAACTTCTTCCATTTACGGATGATGGAGCTCACTGTGCTCATTGGGACCTTCATAGCAGCAGACATTTTTCTGTACCCTTCCCCAGACTTGTGCCTCGAGACAATCCTGTTTCGGAGGTGTACAGACAATTCCTTTGACTTCATGATTGGTTTGTGCTCTTGTAAGCTGGCACTGTGAGGTTTTTTCTGTTAATTTTGTATTGCTGTGTGTGTGGTTGCTGTGCTTTTAATGACCCGCGTGCCATAGCTACGATGTACCACCTGACTGTCACCAGCCAACCGGGTGTCCCTCCCAATCACCGCACCTGCGTGAATGGGCAGGCAGGATCTTAAAATGAGTCAGGGGAAACCACAGAAGAGGGCCACGAGTAGAGGAAGCGACGAGCCGAGAGAAGCCACGGACAAAAGGACAAGCCGAGACAAGCCACGAGCAAAGGAAAGCCACGGAGGAAAACGACGAGCGGGTCCCGTTGAGCGCCAAGGAGACAAACCGCGAAGCGACCTACACGCAGCGGCGGGGCTCATACCCCGCCTGCGCAGTAAGTAGCGGTTCAAGACACGTTTACCCCTCATAGCCCTTGGCCCTATATGAGTGTGTTCACAGTTAAGTGTCAATTGAAGTATCTCGACTTTAAAAGGTTATAACTTAAAAACTATAATTACTATCATAGATTGGAAAAAAGATTTCAAACACAGACACATCAAAGAGATAGTGTGGATAAAATCAAAAGGAAAGATTGTCAAATATACTTTTGGTGACATTTTAAACGACAAAATCAGCCTCTTTTTTGACCATTCTACTGTGACGCCGGTTACATAGAAAATAAAATGTCCTCTGTCTGAAAAAGCGGCAGATGAAATCCCACAAGATTATTATGGTTAACACAACATCAGGAAATCACTTGATATGAAAAGGAATCGTTAAAAAATAAAAAAAATAATTAATTAATTAAATGAATTAATTAATGATGAGATAAAATAAACAGGGCTGCTATAGGAAACTTGTCTAATGTATAAAACAGATATGTTCTAGCAACTTCTAATGGACAGAGGAGGTGTTTGGAAACATGAAAAACATAAAATATCTTCCGATTATTAAAATCAAATTTTTGGCCTTTTGTCACACTTTTGTGCCCTTTAGTGTGAACAAGCCCATATACGTGTGCTTTTTCCTGCTCCGGTGTAATCTCTTCCCCCCAGAGGTCTACGGCCTGGGATCTGGAGTGGCAGCTGGAGGGCTACAATCTGTGGTACAGAGTGAGGACGCAGAGGCATTGGGACGTACCGCGAAGCGACCTACACGCAGCGGCGGGGCTCATACTTCGCCTGCGCACTAAGTAGCGGTCCAAGACGTGTTAACCCTTATAGCCTTTGGCCCTATATACAGTGCTTTGCGAAAGTATTCGGCCCCCTTGAACCTTTCAACATTTTGCCACATTTCAGGCTTCAAAACATAAAGATATAAAAATTTAATTTTTTTCATGAATCAACAACAAGTGGGACACAATCGTGAAGTGGAACGAAATTTATTGGATAATTTAAACTTTTTTAACAAATAAAAAACTGAAAAGTGGGGCGTGCAATATTATTCGGCCCCCTTACTTTCAGTCCGCGCACTAAGTCCGCGCACTAACTTCTCTCCGGAGACTTCTCTCTCACTCACTTCCGTCAATAGAAGCAGCGTGACTTGTAGTACGGAGAGAAGTTAGTGCGCGGACGTAGCGCTCCTCAGATTACTACGCCTCACAATATAGTACCCGTTTTATCCGCTGAGAAAATCGACAGTTATATTTCTGTGTTACTATACTTTGCAGTGTAACACGTCACGTAACTATATACATTTAATAGGGAACACTTGGAAGAGTTTGGTAGCTTCTAGCGGGAGCTACCTTTTGGGTACTATACAGTATACAGAGGAGGCTGCGTTTGTGCTCCCGTTTTTGCTCCGTTTGCATGACAGAGCGCACGGACTAAGACCAGACAGGTACATATTAACTAGTCTAAGGTAAGGTAAGAACATATGTCAGTATGTAAAAACGGTGATGTAACAGAGAAGCAGGTCTCAAACAAACAAAACTTAGCATAATTAAAAAGCAACAAAGTAACCCATTAAAGGACAGTGGAGACAAGTTGTTCCATGTTAAAGCTCGAGAAGCTAATCTTAAATTTAGACTATCTAAACACTGCGGGCCAAATGAAATATAGATTTTGTAGGATTAATACTCTTTGTACTTTTTGTAATTAAGTATAACATGCTAAGTGTAGTGAACAATCTTATAAAAAGACATGCAAATAATTTCTCATTGCTTTGTGCACATAAGTACTGAAAGTTCTCACTATTTTTCTGTGGTAAGACTGTACCAAGGCAGGCCCCAGAGTCCAATCAATTTATTGTTAAAAATAAGAGATTATCTACATTTAATTTATGTTAATGTAAACAAGTAAAAGATTTTGCATTTTATTTTATTATCAAATATATATTTATATATATGATACTGAAGTAGTAATAATTACACCTACTGTAATATAAACCTTTTTATGTGGTTAGTGTCTGTCCCCAAGGACTCTGTGCCTGGGCCGCCCGGGTACCCTTGGAACGCCACTGTCAGGTCTGCCGTGTTTGTAGTCCTCATTGTTGCATTGTACTTTTATCAAGCTGTTTACAGTGCATGTGGTTATTGGAGAGGCCGTGCATGAAAAAAGAGTGGTATTGAGAGATAATGAGGCATCCATAGTACAGCATTATTTAAAAACGAGCGAGAGTTTAATAAATGTTTTTATTATAGACTATTTTAAAATTTAATGCAAATAACAATCAGTTTCAACTAGCAAAAACACATAAAACAACTGTAAAATCGTGATATGAAGAACTGCTATAGATGATTGAGGTCCCCTCTGTAAGTTCTCAATCACTTCTGTGTCTTTACCAATCGCTTTTCAGATATTTTGTGAAGTATTTTCAGTTCGACTGTTTAGGAGTTGTGTTTTTCGTCGTTAGTTGCTGTTAATGACTTCCTACTGGCTCTACGAACTCGTCCGATAATAGAATCACTGGGAGAATGCTCCAGAGTCGCGTCGCTCATTATTCTTTTATACAGAGAAAGATATCAAATTTGATACGCGGTGCGAAACCAAATGTCAATGGTCAGTGCGGTCTGATATGGGAAGATCCAGACCGCAAATCAGCCAAACAGAGCACACATACGATCCAAGTCATATATAATAGAGATTATGAACTTGAGCAGATAATTTTATCGTCAGTGATGGGAGAGGCAACATTGGCAAACAATAAACCGAAAGTGTAATCTGTATAAACGGTACAGATGTCCGCGACTTGTCTCGGCATGACAAAAGGATTGTACAAAGAACATTACCTTTATGTGTGTTTACTTTAAACTGGAAAAGCCTTCTTCCATTGTTGTATATCAGCAGCATCCCCAATAAGGAGAGAGTGCACAAAGAGGGCGTAATCTAGCTCTGCCTTTGTGTAGACGCATCTCTGACTCTGAGAAGAGAGATGATGGACAAAAACAATGTTTGGTAATATCTGATTCAAAATAATATGAAAAAGAGAGCCTCTCAAGTTCATGGATCCATAAGTCTAATGACGTACAATTACATGTCAATGCTAAAAATTATAGACGAAAAGCAACATGTTATTTCTAGCATTTTTTCTATCGTAGTAGCTTGCAGTTTTGATCTTTTTATTGCTGATATGATCATATATTCAAGATTAATGTAATTACGTCCCGTAGGAAAATGTTACTTGGACTACACAGGCTGCTACAATTGAAAATACACATAAGCACAGACATAAAAACACAACACAGTAAACACAACATAAACTCATCAAACCGCTCTGCACGATGGCCTGCATCAGGAGAAATGGTAGGAACTTGTACTGGTACCGATTTAGATATCTTTTCTTATTCTAGGTGGAAATGGGAGGAGCTCATATTGAGAGTAAAGGGACATGAAAGGATCTGAGGTGATTTTCTTTGCCTGTCTAACAACAGTCTCAAATATCTCCGCAAAGATGGATGCTGCCTAACCGCCATGACCTACGTGCCTGTGCGCGCCAATCTGTAAAGTTTTCTGCTTTTGTATAGGCCCACTCAAATATAAGCCTGCAGTTTTTCACGTTGTAATGTTAAACTTAACCAACAGCTGATAAAGTTTAACTGCTTACGACAAGTGATTTTCTGATAGTTGACATGTGAGGACAAGGCTTGGTAAAATAAATCTATAAAAATCTGAGGATGTCAAACTCTACTTAGCATGATTGCCGAGAAATGTTAGCTTTCGTGACTCATTGACCATTATTTATTTGGACAATAATTGAGCGTCCTATATCCACTAAACCATGACAGAGTTATAATAATGCATACCCGAATATTGTGTATATACACTCACACATTTTTCGTTATGTTTGCCTCCTTTGCTCTTTTGTTCCTTCAATGTCTTTTCACAGATTCCTTTATTACTGAATGCACTCCAGGATATTAAGACAATCTGAAAATAATAAAATAATTAAACCAATTAGCATGAAAGTGCTAATCTCAGAATCTCTGCTGTCAACAAGTAACACACCTGTTGCAGTTACTTTTAAGCCAATGCGCACATAGGATAAGTAAACAACTCCTACGCACAGCCAAAGCCGTATAAAAATCTTGTAAACCCTGAGTCCATTTGAAAGATGATTGATTCAGTTGGCCTTTTGATGTAAACTGGTAAGAAACAATGGGATTTACTCAGAGGAAAGAAGTACACAAGCCAGGTTAATTGATTATGATTGGAGCGAACTCACAAAAGATTTGTATTTCTTCTCAAGGACTTAGCACCACAAGTTCTGCTGAAGTGCCCATACTGAGAGACAGGGAAGAAAATAAAGTTTAAGATTCATCTTTTGTTTGGGTTAAAAAATGGGCATGTAAAACCAATTGACGCAGTATGTAGAACACAATCAAGTATATACAGTACGTGTTTATATAAAGAAACATAACCATCCATTTTTTAAACCAAATGCTTAATATCTATAGTGCCAAGAGATGCAAAGGTTCCAGAAGTTTTTTTCTGATCTGGGTGAAATGAAGCACTCTCAGAATGACATCAAACAAGGAGAAGTGCTCTCAATATTTTTCCTCCATGTATCTGCAATAAAACCAACAATAAAATATAGTCAAATTTTCCAATAACATAAGTTTACAAGAAATTGAAAAACTCACTTCTCATGATGACGAATCCAAAATGTGTAAATTCTTTTTGAAAATCATTCATCAGCCGAATCTGAATAAAATGAATATTATTGTCCAAGCCGAGTCAAGAGCATCCACAGTACTTGAAAAAAGATACCTGTTTTAGAATCGACCCGATCTCAGGTCTGTTTGATGTCAATGCTCGTCTGTGTGAAGCTGAATCTTCAGAATCAAACTGATTCTATCGTTTTGGGCTGCAACAATAGATAATCCAATTCAACAAGATGTATCAATATTCAACCTCAATTCTAATTCTACAGCCCTCAGTCCCTGATTCTAATAGCCTCAGTATTGGTTCTATAAGCCGCAATCCTGTTCTATAAGCCTCATATCGATCAACATGGCCCTCAGTCCTGTTCTATAGCCTAAGTCCTGATTTATCGCATCACTCCAGTTCTAGAGCCGCAGTCCTGATAAAATCACCCTTAGGTCCTGGTACTACAGCCAACAGTTCAGGTTCTTCAGCCTCACTCTGTTCACAAGCCTCACTAGTCTCCTGGTTCACAGCTTCAGTCCCTGGTTACACAGCCTCAGTCCTGGTCTATAGCTTATTCGTCCGTGGGAATAGATCCCCAAAGTTTCTTAACTCATATCACTGCCATTGACGTCCTAAGACGTCGATCGCTTTTATTTTCGTTTTTTCTTTCTATGCTCTCAAGCTCTGTGCAACACTGTGGTCTACATTTCAGACTGTAAAAGAAACAACTTGGGAAAACCGATCCGTAGGGGGAAGAGGTTGACACTGTGGGCCGATCCCAGGGGGGAGAAGGGGGCAATGTGGGGTTTTGCTGTGAAGCAGCAAACAGCCAAGGAGCGAGCCATGCTATACACAATAGGATCGCGGATCTGAAAAAAGCTCACCGCAGCTAACCGCCCTGTTTAATTGAGAAGCCTGTGCAGTCAATCAAACGGATAAAAAGAAGCGCTAGATGCCACATGCTAGTTTCTTCAGGTTTTAGTTAACATGAGACTCCAGGATCCTCGGAGGCTTCTCCCTCCCCCTCGTCCAGCTGCTGCGGCAGCGGCTCCTCCCCCCTTCCCGTCGTAATGTGGTAGTTGCTTTTCACTTCAACATGTTGCAT